TTTTTTTTTTTTTTTTTAATCATATTCCTCAGATTGTGTTATATTTTTTCCTATTATCCAAGGCAGCTTAAAGTTAAACCATTTATTTCAAAGTGCTGAAAGATATATACAGAACAATTAGGATTTTAGTTTTTCAAATGTCAATTTTAGTGGTTACTATATATAACTTTTTGTATCTTGTAGTTCTCAAAATACATATAGTACTATTTTTAGCATCAGGAATATGCACAAATTTCCACCTTTAGCACATCAATTCTAATCCTGATTCTAGTTTCTAAAGGTTTAATAAAATACAAAGAATTGTATAGACTTTAAGGGGTGATTGGATTTAAGTTGCTTTGGATTTGATTGGATTTATTGGGTAACTAGAGTTGATTTTGAAAAAATTGATTGAGTTAGGTTCGAGTGAGGTTTTGAGGTTGTATTAAAAAATATTTGAAATATAACGATTAAAGTTGATTCAATGTAAAAGTAGAAGAGAAGTGATTGGAATTGATGTGTAGTTAAAATTACATGAATAGAGGAATAGTGAATTAAAGTTGATGTGATGTGTGAGGATAACAGTTGATATTATTAAATTATATTGATAACATTGAGTAGAGTTGAGTTGAGTTAAATTTTAATTAGATTTTGAGTTAGAAAAAATTTAGCTTCTGTTAGATTTTGATGATTCCAACGATAGATTTTCTCAAAGTTGAAATATGGACGGAAATAAAAAAATAAAAATTCCAATGGAAATCGCTTCAACAGAATTTTTATTGGAATCATCTAAATTTAAAATTCCAATAGGAAAACTCATTCAAGGGAATATTTTTATTGGAATTTCCTTTCAAGTCTGTTGAAATCGCTGTCGAAATTCCATCGGAATACATTTTCGTTAGGGAATTTTCCGTTGAAAATTTCATAATTTTACTCCACCAATCACAGGTCGACAGGCGGTACAGACAGTACTACCACCAGATGCAAATCGTGGTCTCCTCGTTCGACATGATAGCGGGCCCCGGTTCTTCCAAGCCTTACACGTCACTAGCCCTTCAGACAATCTCCCGACACTTTCGCTGCTTACGTGATGCCATAAATTCTCAGATTCAGGCGGCTCGTAAGAGCCTAGGAGAAGACGATGCTTCTTCTTCAGGCGATAATAAGGGAATCGGCATATCAAGGCTGCGTTATGTGGACAAGCAGCTCAGGCAGCAAAGGGCTCTTCAGCAGCTCGGGATCATGCAACAACACGCGTGGAGGCCCCAACGGGGCCTTCCCGAGACATCGGTTTCCATCTTGCGGGCATGGCTTTTCGAGCACTTTCTTCACCCGTAAGTGAGCTTCATGAGATTCTCTCGATTGATTGTAAATAGCTTTTAAATTAAACAAGCCGAGCTCGAGCTCATTTGAAGCTCGTTTGATTAATGAACCAAGCTTGGCTCAGAACGTTCGAAAAGAGAATTTATATATAATATTCTATAGTTCGGCTCGTTAATAGTGATAAACGAGCCGAGCTCGATTGCTTATGAATATTGGCGTGATTTTACAAATGCTGAAAAATTGTTGGTGGTTGTTTTGGTACTGTCCAGGTATCCAAAGGATTCTGAAAAGCTCATGCTGGCTAGACAGACAGGATTAACAAGAAGTCAGGTGAAACATAGATTGGATTACTTTCACAAAAAGAGATTTTGTTGCATTCTATATATATGTGGTATTAGTTATATTTTCTAATATTCACCTCCTAGTATTGAATTAAAGAGTAACTAAGAGCATTCACAATGTTTTGGGTTCATTTAAAAAAAAAATTATATGCCACGTAGGAAATAGATTCAGTCTAAAAAAATATATTCTTCAATGCAAGTGCAAGTGGACTGGGTTCTACTGGCAAATATAAGAGACCCGGTCTACCCCTAAGTCTACTTTAAACCCAAATAGAGACATAATCCCTTTACATTGGAGTGAAATTTTTTACCTTTATATAGTTTTATCTATGTTATCCAATACTTGAGTTTATTTACAAATGGACTTTTGCATCCAAATGGACTCCAAACAAGCTCTAAAACAACTCCCACAATGAAACAAGGAGAGTAGTTTTTATGAATTCACATTTCTTTCTTGATCTACCTATTCATTCCTATCATAAACACCTCCCTAATCTTGTCACATCAACTGCTATTAGTATGCAAAGAAAAAAAACCAAGCTTATGGAAATTCTTCGACGAAATCTTGTTACCCCGAATATCCAAACCAAAGAAAACTCTGCAAGTCTTTTGATCTCTCTCTTTCTTTTTCTACTGGCATAGGTCTCGAACTGGTTCATAAATGCACGAGTCCGCCTCTGGAAGCCCATGGTCGAGGAGATGTACAAAGAGGAAACGGGAGATGCTGACGTGGACTCAAACTCTTCGTCCGAGAAGACAAACACAAAGGACAACAAACGCGAAGACTCCATGGGCCCACGCCCTGTGGAATCAAACCCCACCAACCAAATGACCGATAATACAGAGGGCCCGGATGAGATGCCCGCCTTTCGAGGGGATTATGGGTCAGGAAAAACGAGAAACGGGCCGAATGTTTACGTGTCGTCAGCCACAGGTGCCGCCACTTACAACATGTCTGAGCTCGGGAGATTCGGTGGTGTAGACCCCGTGTCGCTTACGCTGGGGTTGCAGCAGGGAGAAGGAGGTGGCGGGTTGAACAGTCACGGTTTTAATCCCCTAAGAGAAGGTGTAGGGTATAACGATGCAGCTGCTGCAGCCATGGCCAATGAGGCGGCGGCGGAGTTTGATTACATGGATTCGGGAAACAGGCAGCACCCGTTCATGTCCTCACTCCTTCCGTCCTTCTCGTGACCATAATGGTAGTTGTT